AATATTAGGTTTTGAAGGCTTCTGAGTTCAAAAATGATGACTAAATGAACCAAAAAGCATGCGTTTAGAGACAAACCCATGCAGCAGTTGGTTTGCCAGTACATTTTAACACCGAGGCTACTCTATTGACATTGGCTGTTTATTTCGTGGATTTGGCACTTGGGGTGGCTGATAAGCCGTGTCGAAAACGACCATTCTGTGCACGTTTTCGACACGGATTAAAAACCAGTTGTAAGCAGAAATGTTCATATGCCAATACCCATATCACTGAGTTCGTTGCTGAGTTCATCTATACAAGCAGTAAACAAGTGTGGTGATTGGATACCACCTTGCCTAACGCCATTTAGAGCACAGAAACTTTTGGAGAATGTGGATCCCCAATACTAATACAAAACGATTCTCGTAATTAAAAATACGAAACACGGTCGAAAGCTGTTAAAACGTCTAAAAACATACAAATGCAGGGCTGTTATTACGTATATAAAAAGCGACCGAGTTGCATTTGACCTACGATAAATATACAATCATGTCCTGCAATGAGTTAAAATTCAGTTTGACCATTACATATTGTTCGTGCCAAGATGGTAAATTTGAGTAATGAATTCTCCACATATTAGTAATGTCCATGCGACCATCGATCCATAAATTCTTGGACCTACCAACGTTTTTCCAAAACATGATGACACTCTTAACAAGGTTGCTATTAGCAAGAGCATCGTCGCTCATAGCATATTACTTTCTTAAGTTTTACAGAGTTTTAAAACATATTATCGGAGAATAATTAACCTGTACGACTTAGAAGATGGTCCCAATAATAATGACCATTAGATCTAATAGAAACTTTAGATTTATTGTCAACAACTTATATATTAGACCTAATAAAATTCATTAATTCATCAATAGACTTCCCATATATAAATATTAGATATATTCGACAATGTCATTAGACTCTATTAACGATATAGTAGACAATGTTATCCGATAACGGTAAAAGGCACGCCGTCGCGCCTTTCTTAATTATTCACAATATTCAGACGTTTATCATTTCACAATGATACATATAGAACGAGAAATCGTCGAAAAATAGGAAGAAATACGCAAAATAGAATAATAAAATATTACATGCCGAAATTCATTCATTATTCATTCCATTGGGTTTCACTGTTTTAAGTCTGAAAATAACTACAGTCTTCTTTTATGCGTCTAAGTTGATTTTTTGATTGCCGCTAACAACACATACATATGAATGGTCTTAACTACGCCCTTAGAACTAAAATTTAATGAAATCGTATCGAAGACCACAGGTATATGGAGTGGAGATAACGTTGCCATGGATAAATGATTACGATGATCCCAATTTTGGCAAGAGTCGTAACACCGATCCCATATTTTGACAATTGTACACACTATGATCTTCGATCCCCGGGAATATTTTTCTCATATACATGTACTAGATCTCGATTATGTGATTCTGGTTTCAATCAACGACTCTTTTTAGGATATTGAAATAAATGAAATTATTCTGACATTCTTGTAATGCAATCGGCACAAAAGGTTTGTATAGCGGTTTGAATGAACGCTGAAACTAAATATACAACATTGTAAATAACCATGACGGTAAACCGCAAACCACAGTGTTGAGTTGCCACTTAATTCACCGACACCCACAATGTTACATTTTTAGAAGTTTTGTTGTAAGAGTCTGACACCTAGATGTTATTCACGGCTAATGCTGTGATCAACAACATAAAACAAAGTCATAAAGAAATCGTCAAGAAAATTTGGCAATAAGACAACCAATAATAATAATTATTATTATTATTTTTATTTTAGACTGTCAAACATTTGAAAGTCCACATAAAACTAGTATGAAAAATAATTAAATAAATGAAAACAAAAAATATATGTATATAGGTCAACAGAAATGAATGAAGAAAAGGAAAAAAAATGTCACGTTTGCCAATAAGTGTGCGTATTGCAATATTAATACTACAACATATTATTCCAATGCTTGAACATGGGTAATAATCACGTGGGTAATGAAACAAGCAGCTTATCGGCTGAGATAGCTCCGCTGTTACCAATGCACATTTCAATTAAAGAACTGAAGATATCATTAGAAAATTAACAATATGTATTTGTCGCATACGACTTGTTACCACTTCCGTGTGACTGAGAATGTTCTAGAACCGTACTGTGTCTGGGTGGAATTTTTAGAAACTGGTTGAATAGGTAATAGAACACTGTAGGAGGCAATAGAAGGTAATGGAACATTCTAGAAATTTGTAGTAAGTTCCAGACTCATTATGTATGCTGATGTAATGGTCTATTTATAGACAGTGTGGGTATATATAGGGGAGTTGTTCAGCACTGAGATCAGATCGGAGATCTCGTTGAATTGTATTGGAGTTTAAGTAACTAGTTATTGGAGTAGTGGAGTTTCACCGCGTTATTGTACTTGATGTTTGCAGAGTATAATAATACCAGTACCAGTTGAAACCTCATCTGTTGGCTCCGTGTTCGCATTTCATCATCGCCGCCAGGGAAGTCTTTTTGTTACTGTTGCCATTTTGGTATTTGAACCATCACACCTGTACTATACCAATTACGGTAATATTACGTTGCGTGTGACAGTATTGTATTAAAGCAATCGGACTTGCTGTTTTCAACAAAAAATCGAAAATATAACGTTTTATCAAAAATATCCATCAAAATTAGATAATGGAAGAACAAAATCATGCCGAAATGAACAAATATGAGGTCCACGTGTAGTACCTAGATATGTAATATCAAAGCAATTGAACTTGTGGTTTTTAACAAGAAGTCTATATCAGCGTTATCCTTCAAATCACTAGTAAGCTTGTGACCAAGATATGTTAATTGGTCAACAAATTCCATTGGCTGTCCCGACAAATATACTGGTGGTATTTTGAAAACACTAACATTATACATGATATCCTGGTCATGCGCAAAGCGACCACATATTTCCAAAAGGCGTCTTAATCTCTTAATAGAGGGCAATGGCACACAGATATCATCAGCATAACTAATAGTAGTTTATAAATAAATAAACGCTGCTCGGACTGATAAGTATGATATATTGAAGATAATATTTGGTAATCGTAGTCCTAAATAACTATTAAAAATAGCTAGACACTTCGAGCAATAGCTCTTTATCGATAGCATAGAAGCAAGTGTGATAACGTACAGGTAGAACATAGGAACGTAAGAACGCGCATGAACTATAAGTTAGAATCACAAAAAATTCCACAATAGAACAAATAACGCGCCTTAGGTAGTGAGCTCAACAAATGAGTTGAACTGTTTGTTAATCGTATATTTGGTCCCAAGGGAGATGTTGAGGTCAAATATCCGTTCAGTTGTATCACTATGAATGTTGTATATTGCATTTCATGTATTAGATGCGGGAAACTTTATATTGGTTCTACAGTTCGTCGACTGGGTGATCGGTTTGCTGAGCATCTACGGCAAACTAGACAGAAAAATCGTTATTGACCGGTTTCACTTCATTTTAATTCTAGTGGACATAATATTACAGATATGTCTATTTCTGGTGTATGTGTTGTCAATGGCAACGAAAATCAGCTCAGGCGTGTCGAGGAGGAAACTATATTAATAATAATAATAATAACTCTATTTAATTAAGCGCAACAATTCCAACATATGAAGATCAAAGGCGCTGATACAATAAACAATCAGTCAAATATTAAAAGCACATTTAAATAAGTGCGTTTTCAGTCTGGATTTAAAAATGTCTACTGAAGGACTAGAACGAACAGACAGAGGTAATTCATTAAAAAGTTTAGGACCTAAATTTTCAAAAGCACGGTCTTTGTATAACA